AGCGGTGGTCCAGTGGTCAAGCCCTTTGGCAGGCATCCTCCTCCAACCCTCATGATTTATCGGGCCAAGTGAAATAGGGCGCCACTTAGCCGCCTCCTCCTCCTCCTGCGACACGCGCCTCCCTCGCGCAGGGCTGCAGGGCCGCACGGCCCCTGACGACGACAAGGAGAGGACGCCAGAGGTCGGGCTCAGGCCGCCCCGCCACGCGTCTCGCCAATATATCGACGCGAGTACACTACACGTCGAGGCGGGGGCTATCGGCGGGTCAGCCCAGGCACGCCGTCAGGCTGTCAGGCCCCTCCCCGTCTCCCCCCCCCCCTCTGACTCTTTCTCTGTCTCTCTGCCCCTCCCTCTCTCTCTCCCTCCCTCTCTCTCCCTCTCTCTCCCTCTTTCCAACTCCCTCTCTCCCTCTCTCCTGTCTCCCCACGACGAGAAGCTTTAGATCAGCGGTTCTCAACCTTGAGGTCGCGTGACTAGATCTTCAATATTCGTCATTATACTTGTCTTCATCACATTCGCCAGTCTATACAGAACTCTTTACCACCGACACATTCACCTCTGGTTCTGCCTGAAATGCCGTGTGGTCCTTCCCCCTATAGCGGCTCCCTTGTCCGGTGGCCGGCGTATGATGCATTGCCCAATAAGTCTTGGTCGCCTTGGTGTGGCCGAGCTGGCGTCCGCCACGCCCCGTCCCGCCCCGCCACGTCGCCGCCGAGCACCACCCCGCCCCACCGCGCCACGCTCCGCCCAGCGTCGGTACGCCCAAGAATCCTCCCCCCCCCATAACCTCCCACGCGCGCGACGCACGGTGCGCCGGCCGGAAACACGAGAGACGAATTCTTTCGCAATATTGAAGTAGCGCCTCATTAGCATAAAGCGCGCCTGTTGCCGGGCGGTGCATTTACTCAGTGCAGAGGTGTGTGAGTGAGTAAGACTGAGTGAGAGAGAGACAGGGAGAGAGCGAGAGAGAGCAGTACCATTTTATTGTAGTTCCCGAACGCGCTTCTTGAGCCACGCGCCGAGTGTCAGCACATACGAGATAAGCAGTCGGTGTGCGCCGCGGCCCGCAGCCGAGCCGGCCGGGACCTCAGGGGACCTCGGATGGAACTTCATGAAAGAAGAACATCACGAGCTCCTTATCAGTCAACACGGATCTTTAGTTTAAAGTGTCCAAAACGCACGACGAAACGGTGCGTGCGCCACCGAAGCAAATTGACGAAAAACAGAGTGTGCGACTACTCCTGCCAAGATTCTTATCCATA